TTCATCAGCAAGTGCTTCAAGTCCTCTTCACTTTCAGAAAGCAAGGTTGTGTCATCTGCATATCACAGGTTGTTAATGAGTCTTCCCCTAATCCTGACGCCCTATTGTTCTTCATATAGTCTATTTTCTTGGACTGTTTTCTCAGCTTATAAATTGAATAAGTATGGTGAAAGGGTACAACCCTGACACACACCTTTCCTGATTTTAAACCACGCAGTATTCTCTTACTGTATTCATATGACTGCCTCTTGGTCTGTGTACAGTTTCTGCATGAGCACAGTTACAATTGAGTGTTCTGGAATTCCCGTTCTTCTCGTTGTTATCCATAATTTGTTATGATCCACACAGTTGAATGCCTTTGCTTAGTTAATAAGACACAGGTAAACGTGTTTCTGATTTTCTCTACTTTCAGCCAGGATCCATCTGATATTAACAGTGATATCCCTTGTTCCACATCCTCTTCTGAATCCAGCTTGAATTTCTGTCCATGTACTCCTGCAACTGTTTTTGAATTATCTTCAGCAGATTTTTGCTTGTGTGTGATATCAATGATATTGTTCAATAATTTCTGCATTCTGTTGGATCACGTTTCTTTTGAATGGGCACAAATATGTATCTCTTCCAGTTGGTTGGCCAGGTAGCCGTTTTCCAAATTTCTTGGCGTAGACGAGTGAGAGCTTCCAGCCTTGCATCCATTTGTTGAAACATCTCAGTTGATATTATGTCAATTCCTGGGGCTTTGGTTTTTGACAATGCCTTCAGTGCAGCTTGGCCTTCTTCCTTCAGTACCATTGGTTCTTGATCATATGCTACCTCCTGCTGTGTTACTGATTTATATTTTTAAAAACAGATGAATGAATTACTCCTTTAGTATCCTGTATCTCAGAAATAACTGTGTCCTTCTTCTAGTTGTCTGAACCAAGAACCTTCTTACGTGCCACATAGAGTCCGTCAGCAAATCTTGTTGGTTTTATCGTCAAAATATATCTAAAATCTGACCTCTTCTCATTATCACCACTGCTGTTACCCTCTTCCAAGTTACCATCATTTCTCTCCTGAACTATTGCAGTAACCTTCTAAATGGTCTCCCTTCTTCCATCCTTGACCTCTTATAGTCTATTCTCCATAGCAGCCAGAATGATCTTTTTTTTTTAAATAATTTATTTTATTTTAATTTGTTGTTGAGAATACACACAGCAAATACACCAGTTCAGGCTTCTACATGTACAATTCAGTGACACTGATTACATTCTTGAAGGTGTGCTGCCATTCTTATCCTCCTTTTCTGCATTGTTCCTCCTCTATTAACATAAATTCATTGCCCCCAAAGTTTCCTGTCTAATCTTGTGAGTTGCTTTTGTCAGTTTGATCCCATGTATATAGATCTTAAAAGAG